CAGGGAAACTTCTAAAACCTGCAGGACAGCGGCCCTCGAGGACCGACTTTGGGGATGCCTGATCTAGAGGCTGGGTTGTTGAAATCAGCTATGCCAGGGACCAGAATCATACAAATGTTACTGAATATGGATAATAACACAAAAGTGAGATAGGGATTAGGGTTAAATGACTTAAAATCAAAGTCAGTTTTTTTTATCCAAAATTGCGACTGGAATTTTATTTAGATTTTTCTCTGCGCTAACCATAAGAAAATACATATTTCATTCTAAACTTTCATTGTTTTGATAAGCTTGAAATGTTGCTTGTTGCAAGTTCATTGTGGCTTTTATTCTGTCAGATCAACATACCCCTTCAGACCCACATACCAATAATCAATACCTGTTTAACTTTTAGTTTATCCCTTTTGTTTTGTATAAAAAAATACACTTTAAACTACCTCAACGGGTGTGTATCTTTTCAGTTGTGCAAAAAAAACCTATTTAATTACTTACTTTTTAGTCTTTTTTGAACAGTATGGCGAACTGACCTTAAATAGTTTTTTTTATACAAACTAAACGGATAAAGGGGGATAAACTAAAGGGATAAAAATATAATAGGATATGCGTGTGCAAATCTGACTTCTTGCGCATGCCTATTGACTATTGGTATGCTGGTCTGATGGGGATGCTGATCTGACAGATCACTGGACTTTACTGTTCATGTTGCATGGAAAAGTGTTTACTTCTGCTCTAATGCATACATTTGGATCCAGCTGCAACTTGGATATTACTGCCACCTGCAGGGCTGGAGTGAAAAAGCATCTTATTAAATGTAACCAAAACTGTTCTGTTCTGTGATTTGATAATTGCAAATGTAATTAATTGCCCAGCTCTAATAAGGATGTACAGAATTATTTGTCCTTTGGCCGGCTCTCATATTGAGGGGCCCCTTAAGCAAATTCAACTTGGCAACATTTTTACATCAGATACCCTTCCTTACACAACCAGGATTCAAACTCAGGTCTTCTCTATTACAGTCAAAGATTTCATCCTCCTCACAATGGATACATTGACTCAGGATGTACAGAACAGTTAGATTATTTTTATGACAGTTGTTTCGTTGTTTACTTATCAACAACAACAATAATAATAGACTATTGACAATCAGAACTACGCTTTGAACCAAAACAAAATCATCAACTTTAGAGGATCACTACTAGTATGACGCTTCTTAATTAAAGCAAACCTGCCAAACCAATGACAGTGCCAATGTATTTTATTGGATTAGACACTGTGAAATAAAAGGAAATTTAAAGAAGACTGTTTTTTTTCTGAACGGAAGCTTACAAATCTTAAATGTGTGTGGACGTGTATTCCACCCCGTGAGATTGATAAGCTTCATTTGTCCCTGCTGAGGAGATTATTCTCATAGTAGGGGGCAACAGTGGTCTCGATGTAGGAGTTTGCTTTGAAATCGAAGGGTTGGCGGTTCATTGTCGTTGTGTCCTTGGGCAAGACACTTTGCTTGCATTGCCTACTGATGGTGGTCAGAGGGACTGATGGCGCCAGTTTACGGCAGCCTCGCTTCTGTCATTGAGCCCCAGGGCAGCTATGGCTATATTGTAGTTTGCCACCATCTGTGTGCGAGTGTGTGCGTGAATGGGTGAATGACTGAATGTAGTGTAAAGCGCTTTGGTCAAGTCACCTGACTTGAAAAAGGGCTATATAAGTACAGGCCATTTACTAATTTAGTATGGTGCTACCACACTATGTTTTCCTACAGGAACGGTTGATTCAGAGCGATATGCAAGGTTATTTAAAAAAAAAATGTTTGCATGGTGACTGAAGCTTTACATTTGGATGTCCAATAACCATTGCACCTACTTCCACATGTTTACTATTACCTGGCTACATGACATGTGGCCAACTGGAAACTGGCATTCTCATAGCTTTCTTAGAACAATAACTTCCATAAAGCCATTGTTGCTCAGTGCAAAAGTTGCCTATTTCCACAGTCTGTGAGTGCAGTTAAACAGCCGTGTATTGATAGGTTTTTGGTTGGGCATTGCTCTATTTGCAGCTAGATTAAAACAGTGCTATGTCAGATGTTGAAAGCTTGGGGTCTTTTTTTTCAAACTAACCCTTATTTATGCTTCACTATAACTTATCTCCTGACTTTGCTACTGTGTTTCTTGTCCCTCATTAGGATGTTTATCACATTTTTTTTCTCAAAATGGAGTCAGGACACACCAGGGTTGGGGGGTTGTTGGGTTGCAAGTCACCAAGTGGTCTGTTGAGAAATATTCTTTTCACAGTCATTATGATCACTGATGGAACATGGAGGGCTAAAATCATGATACAAACATATGCATGTGACAAATAAAAGTACCATCAATAAGATGTAATATGTATTTATCTAAATCATTAAATTATAAAATGCACAATCTGCCATTAAATAAAAAAAAAATAATTATTATTAATCACATAATGTCATTTGAAGAAATAATTATTTCAAAAATTTATATTATTACATCATATTTATATAAACAATAAATATAGAAGGAAGTAATTAATTGAATATCTATTTTAGAGGGTCGTCAGTCTCTTGCATTGTTCCTACAGATGCACCAATCAGGATTTTGGGATCCAATCATCAATCACTAGTATCTGCAGATCCAGATATTGTCAATCACAGAATCAAATCCATAAGTTGTTTAATACTGTTGTCTCATGCACATTGACAATGAATTGTTAAGTATAATAATTAGGAGATGAGAAAGTATAATGGATTTACCATTTTTTTAGTGAAGCAGGCAGTGGAGAAATGCTTTATTTAATCAAAATAGAAGATAGAAAAAATAATGTTGACAAATGGTGAAGTGGGAAATGTTCTTAAGTGGTTTGTGGCTGGCGTTTAAAATCCAGCCCAGGTAAATGCCCTAGAAGGACTGTTTTGTCATCCTACCTCCAAAGCAGACACCAGCCAGCTTCCGCCTTCTCTCTGCCGCCCTGTCTGCCCTGTAGGTTTCTTTGATCCACCCCTGTCTTCCTTCCATCTCCCACAGTTAGCCTCTAAAGGCTAGCCTTGCCTTTACCTGCTCTGTCTCCCTTTTTCTGATGTACCACTGTCCTACAGCATAGCCTCTCCCCCACTTTCGGCTCTATCTTTGCCCAGCAGGCTTATCCAATCGCCGATGTGCTCTTCCTGTCTCCTTCTGAGAAAGAAGGACCCTCCTATACCAATGTGGTTCCTTAGCTCCAGAGGTGGGGACAGGCTGGCCACCTCGTCCCGGTTATGAAGTTCTCTGAGCCTGTGTTCTTGCACCGATTACCTGCTGCTCCTGTCTGAGCTCCAGAACGGTATCACACCTTACCTATGTTTACCGGGTGATTTGTCCCGCTGTTTTTGTCATTTTAACCAAAACCAACATTGACCAAAAGCAGGAGATGCCCTTCCAATTTTGATTTGTGAAAATTGTGCCCAGGAGATAAAAATATTAATTTGTTAACAATGAAGGGAAGACAGACCTGGAGTTAGCACTGATCACTATTGGCAGGAATAGAAATATCGCTACAATATATCTGTTTCATAAACACATATATACGTATATATGTGTGTTTATGTGTTGTGTGTGTGTGTGCATGTGTGCACAATCTTCTAGCATGAGTTGTTCCTGTGTTGTTTATGATCGCCATAAAAATGCCATTTTCTACTATAAAACCAAGTTACATTATAAAAAAAAAAAAATCCTGATTCAGCGCTGCCACATTTGCTATGCAGTTGTGTACTTTCTGTCTTCAGTGTCAGCATTTTGTGTTTTGCTCAGGCAAAGCGAAGGCGACAGTGGAAGTGAGAAAGAAGGGAGTGGGGAGAGGCTTATTTGCGGAAAGGAAATAATCATTCATATAGTCACTGAAAGTGACAGTCACCTCTGTTCACACCCAGAAAATATGGTTCTGACTCCCCTTTGAAAGGGCCATCATGCATTAGGAAATATCCTTTATAGATTTTTCTGGACCTTTTAGAAGCAAAATATGATTGTATTATTAACAAGTCACTTTAAAAGAACTGAGCGTATTTGTTTGGTAGTGGTACTTGAACTTTTTAAGGCACAAATCCGGGCTTCCTCATCATTTTTATTAAATAAATCAAAATATACACTATGGTAATTATGCATTTGGTTTTGACACATCCAAAAACCTTAAGCTTGCTTATATTCATTTGTTTTTCTGGTAACATTCATACAGAACCCAGTTTCAGTTTGAAGTGCTCACTGGCTGCTGGTGAATGGATTTGTACTTGTAAACAGCAAGTTTATGCAAGCTGAAATGGACTGAGCGTTGTTGTACATTTCGAGATATAATCATGCATAACTGCTTACATATCTGCAACACATACTGTAATTATGGAGATGAGGAACGGTTGCTCTTCCTGTTCCCTAACATGGGTTCCTAACATAGAAATTAGTACGGATGGGTGCATTCTCTCTGGGTAATTTGGTAAGCTTGTGAGGGTAATGCATTTCTCATACTGCCTTTTGTTCCTGCTGCCTTTAGCATACTTTATACAAAATAGTTTTTGGGTTATGGTTAGACGGTAATATAATGCTTGTCTTTTTAATACCCTTACTGGTTCATAAGAATAATGACTTTTTTATAGGATCTTGTATGAGTACTGTGTTGCAAAAGTAATTATACCTCTCTAACTTTATCAATCACTCTATTTCAGTTTTTTTTTTTTTTTTATGTAAAATGCTCAAAGAGAAGATGATTTTTTTTATATAAAGCCAACATGAACAAACAGCATCAATGAAAAAAAAATTGAACACTATAAAAGCAGGATACATAAAAAAATAGAAAATTATTCCCAGTTTTAAAGACCTAATGTCTTTTTTTGTTTGAACTATTGTGTCAAATATGAAAAATTATTCCTAACCTACAAAGATGAAAGCTTATTTAAAGATGATAAGATGTAAAAGGTTTTTTGATTTTCACTGATAAGTGTTTCTTTGCTCCCTTAGGTCCTCCAGTCATTGTAGGGATGAGCATCAATATAGCCAGTATCGACTCCATCTCAGAAGTAAACATGGTGAGTTACATACTTCTTGGTCTTGGGTAATTTTTGTCTTTGTACCCAACCTAGAGGAGTCAGTTTTCACATTAACTCTCGGATTAAATATGTGGTCCACAAGGCTGACGTCCAGTATATCAATGTGACACTAGCAAGGGAGGTCCACCTCAACCCACAGAGACACCAGGAAGAGTACATGGAGCCATCAGCGCATCAGCAAATATTGATCACGCATTGTTTCTGTGAATGAGAGCATATCCTTATTGACATGCAGCCAGAGAGGCAGACTGACCAGAGAAATATGCCGTATGGCTGATTTCTAAGGAGTTAAATTACTGTATCAGGTCTTTCTCCCAACTTAGTTTTTTCTGTAGCTAAAGCCGTTTCTCAATATGTGAATATCTGCGTTCTCTTGTGTTCGTGAATCTTTATCAGCCTAAGCCCCAGCACTGCTCCAATTTACAAGAAAACAAGAACAAGAATGGACAAAATTTCACAGAGCTTAGAGTATTAAGTTAACTTTTCTGTTGCTTTTGTTCTATAAAAGTATGTCTTAAAAGCATTTTAAGTGAGAACATTATGCTTGTACTGATTTAGTGTGTAATTTAAAAGAAAGTTGTGATGCTAAGAGGACCATTGCAACCAGTGGGGATCCTAGGCTAACCTCAGTCAGGGCTAACATTAACCCACCTGCAGCAGCCATCTCTCAACATAGCCATGTGTGAAGTACTGCTGGCTCTTATGGCATTTTTTTTTTTCTTTTGGCAAAACTTTAATTTGATTAGTGTTTATCTCTATTATTATTATTTTCTTCTAGAGACCATTAATAGTAAGATGTAAAATGCAGCTCCAGACAAGCCGAGTACGCTTCCATTCCAATTGACATTGATTTATTTTTGTGCTCCCGTTTTTCCCGTGTCATATGTTCTGGTCAAGAACCTATTTGGCGAGAACACAAGTCCATACTCTCCTGCTAATTGGAATCCACAGTCAGTCACAGAAAAGCTCGCACTTTCCTTCCTTCCTTCCTTCCTTCCTTCCTTCCTTCCTTCCTTCCTTCCTTCCTTCCTTCCTTCCTTCCAATTCAGTGCATTTATATGTGGTTCTTTTTCTGTGTTTTCAGGACTACACTATCACAATGTATTTCCAGCAGAGCTGGAGAGACAAACGTTTGGCCTACGGAGAGCTGAACCTAAACCTGACTTTAGATAATCGTGTAGCAGACCAGCTGTGGCTCCCTGATACCTACTTCCTTAATGACAAGAAGTCCTTTCTTCATGGTGTGACTGTGAAAAATCGCATGATCCGGTTACACCCTGATGGCACAGTACTATACGGACTGAGGTAAGCACGAGGGAACAGTTTGGGTCTAACTCTTAGTTTTGTAAGTGTGCAAATAAATGCAAAATAAATCCAAAACAAAAAAAATGTAACACCATTTAAAATATATTAAGGTTGCTTTGTGTAATTCAATGTGCAAATAATCTAGGAATTTAAGATTAAGTATAGCAAAAATTTGCAAATCAAAATAAATCAAAATAAAATTCTTGTTTTGGCACATAATTTCAGCCGGATCCTCCAAGCAATCTGGCACCACGAAGCAGTCGTCATATGATGCACTTCTTGGAGAAGCTTGCAAAACTTTAATAATTCAGGAGGTCAAAGTGTCTGCTACAAAAAAAATCTTTCATGCATTCTAAGATACATGTCACCTTCCTCTGACCCTTCCAGCAGAGAGTAAGTGGCTCTATTATGAGAGCAGTACTTGGATAGATAGAATGAAATAAATGTGTAAAAATTAACAACAATAGACGTAGGCAAACTTTATTTTTATTTTCATTTTGTACACACAGGGTGTATACAAAACAAAATTTCATTCAGTATAGCTCTCAAGACATTTCCATTTCTTAAAGTGCGGCACTGATAAAATGTAAACAAGGTGATCAAATTTAAACATAAGACTGTTTTCCAACATTCAGCGCTTTTTTTTTTTTTACAGTTTTATTCAACAACAATGATTTTATTTAAAAAAAATATACACATGCTGCAAACTATAATTTTGACCAAAACGTTGTGGTGGAAGAGAATGAGAGCAAGAAGAACACAATGAAAAAGCAGGTTCATCTTTGTTCATTTTAGTATGGATGTTTGGTCCTAGGAAAGGATAAAAAATGACAGATTTATATTTGGCATCAGCTAGCAGTCTTTAAAGTGTTATTTTTAAAGCTATAGGTCCTCTAGCATGACCTCAGCTATATCCTCCATGTTTCTGAAAAAGCGAGAGGCACATTCAAGCAAAGATTCAATGACCCTGAAAGCCTAAGAAAGGTGTAAAATCTCCAGCACCTCTCATATCAACCTGAAAAAGCAAACATTTAGGTCAACAGCAAAAGTGAACAGTGGCATTCTTCAAAGTTCCCATGGGTGTTAAAAAAGTCAGATTAGGTTTGCTGAAAATGAAAAGAAATTGGTTTTGTTATATATTCTCAAAGCCATTTCCTTTTGGTTTGTTTAAGTTTTATAACCTGAAGAGATGTTTGTTCTAAGTATAAAAATTTCTATGAAGGTTCTTTAAAGTAATTCCAGAAGGATTCAAATGGGATGTAAGATAGTAATTAAATAAATATTTTTTAGTTACTCTGATCTAGTGATTTCTTTCTATAAATAGATAAAATCTAATTTTATCATTATCACTTGTCCCATAGAAGAATCACCTTACTAGTGTGAAGGTTTTGTCTTTTTTAATGTCAGATAAACATGCCAGATTACATTAGATATTTATAAACACTGTTTTACTTTGAATTAACTTTGGATCATCAAATCATGTCTGTTTGTTCAGAATTATTTCTTCGAATTAAGAAGTTGACATCCTTTTTTTTACTATTTGGTAAAGCTACTTTTAAGCTACTTGCTTTTAAACTTTTAAGCATCCTACATTAACATTTTAAGAAGAAAATTTGAAATGTTACCCTTTGCTCCCCTTAAAGCATTTGTTTAAATTATTATGGGACTGAGATTGAGGTTTCGTGATAACCTCTCCGAAATATTATCTATCTACCATTATAGACTTTTTATTGCAACGGTTATAATTCTATGGTTAGTGGCATTGCCCATTTTAACTACGCATTTGTGCCAAAGATTTTCTAATGACAATCTTTTTTTATGAAGCACACCAGAGCCTCCTGCAATAAAAAAAACATATTAAGTTCATTTTTTATAAGCCAATTTCACAAAGTCACAAAACACTGTAAATTAAAAGAACATATGAGAAATATATGAAAGAAGTGAAAAAAAAAGTTGACTCAAATAATCATTTGAAGCACCACAGGTGTGAACAAAAATGTGAAAATCTAATTGGATAATAAGGATTTTGTAATAAGTCAGGCATAGGAGGAGTAAAATAAAAGATCTATTGCGACCCGTAAAGAGGGCATTACAATAGCTGTGATGAGTAAAATATGTGAATAATTTTTCCTAAATCGGTTTGAGAGAGGATAAGATATATTTTAGTTATGCGATGTAGAAAAAAGGAACAAGAAATTATGTCACAAGATGGTGATGAACCTCACAGCAAGGAGGGAGTTCTTAAGCTTGCTGATCTCAACTGTCGACCTCCATATGTAACTGGTTATTATAGATCAACACATCATTCCTCTTTTTATATTTCCTGCTTGGGTGTCTCATACAAACCACATGAAGAAGTGGGCTGGCTAAATGTGCACGTGCAGCAGTACTTATTGAAAGGAGATCTGCAGACTGAATTATAATTGCATGAATTACTTTATGAAATCTAGTTTAAATAAAAATGGGATCAAAGTAGAGAGATCACATTTTTTAAATTGGAAAATGTGTTTCTATGACATTTGACCTGATTATTTGTACAGCAAAAAAAAATTATCTAAAGAAGTCATTTTTTTCTTAAATGAAGTTGATATTTCTTGAATTTAGGAGGTATGTGAAACACTTTGCCAATGGAACAAGACAATTTACATTTATATTAATATTTAAATTAGGCCTAAATGCACACATTCTGTTGTCAATATATCTTATTGAAAACACATAGTACACCGGGAAAAAAAATTATAATAATAACAATAATAAACAAAAAGGATCAAAAAGAAATGGGACAACTTTATAGACAGCTTTGAATTATTTAACAAACTTCTGGGGCCTTTACAGAACAACTGGATTTATGAGATTTGAATTCTGAAAAACTCTTGGTTGCATTGCACCTCATTTAGGGGTATCATGTTTATAGGGGCTAATTACAAACATACACTATGTCACACTGTTCTGATTTTACATTATTTTACCATTTAATAGTGCACTTTGCACATCAAAATAACATGAAAGGTGCAAAAGAGAAAAGGGATCAAAATTTAAAAAGGACCACAAACTGTCCAGCTTGCATAAGGCATTTTTATTTGCAGTGTTCTTGTACTAGACCTTCATCAGGCATACATGATGAAGGTCTTTACCAGTGTCCTCTGCAACCATTTTTTTATTACATTCCCGATGAAGGTCTAGTGTACAGGAGTCCTTTTTATACATCTTAAACATTTGGAAAAACTGTGTATAATTGTTTTATCCACCTCACATTTATCCACTGCTGTGATTTAACCTATTACACTTAATCCAAATAAAACACATTAAAGTTTGATCGCAAAACATGCATAAATCAGAAGCAACCAGACTCTCGAGTTAAGTTTTTTTTGTGCTTGCCATTACCCAGGTGGCTATGAATTTACACAGTCTATAAAGTTTGATATTGCAACATGAAGAAACACAAAAAAGCTGCAGAGTAGCAACATTTAAGTGCGTTTCTGAATGATGCGAATATGCTATCTAACTATCTGTGCAGTGAGGGAACATACTGAGCTATTTGTCACATGGAGATGCTCTGATTTGTTAAGAGGTGGGCTGAAACTGAAATTGTTCTGCGCATGTAAAGCTCCCAACCTCATCCCGATGCTGGAATAGAATCCTGCCTGGAACCCTGATATTATTTTGCCTTGCTAGTATTTCTCTGGGTTCAGAGGAGCCTTTGGGAGCACTGAGCGGAGCAGCTAGGAACGTTTATTCAGATCACATGTAATTCAGATCCACTGTAATTTAGCACAGTTCTCATATTCTTCAGTCCCTACTTGCTTTGATTAATGGTGACACAGTTTGTTCTTTTTCAATCTTGGATACGTCTAAAACACATGTTGTCACACAAGCTGCATTTAAAGAACATTAGAAAAACTAAATCATAAGGACCAAGAACACAAAGGTGATTTGCAAATTGAACATTTTCCATACCCGTTATGCATGGGGATGCCTGTTCTAAGCAGAAACACTGATCAGAGTTCATGGCACAAAAGAGCTGAATCCATTAAATGCTACAGTGGAATAGTTTTGATCCAAGTTTATTCCTATTTACGTGAGCTCTTACAAAGTCCTGACCTTAATGAATCCATATATGGGTCGCAGGACTTGAATATGGACATTCATAGATGCTCACAAACCAATCTGACTGAGCTATTTTTTTTTAGCTATTTTGCAAAGGACAACATGAAAAAAATTGTATCCTCTCAGCAGGCAAAGCAGGTACAGTATATGTCAAAGCACAGCTATATTTGCAGTGACAAGCAGAAAAAAATGTGTACACCACACTATTCAGTTGTGTTTTGTTTTTTTTTTTGATTAAAAAAGGTTATCCTTTTCTTTACATTTTACAGAGCTGGAAATGCTTTTGCTTGCCTATCTCACATAACATGAAGCTTGTGTCTGCAACATTACAAAATGCATATAGGAAGTGATACTTTAACTACAGTGTTAGTGATAGGCATTCTGCCACAATCATTAAAATTAAAAGATCACCTAAATTGACCGTTTCTTTTTAATTGCATGTTATAAAATAGAGATAATTGGCTTTTTAAATAGACCAACTATAGTTATAGCAGAGGCTCAGAGTGAGTGGTAAATTTATCCCTCCCTAAATAAGATCTGTTAGCTACATGTAGATGTCTGGTTGCAACTAATCAGTTCATCTTTCCATAATTATTTCCATCTGATTAGACATGAATTGTGGTGACCATGGGTATTGAAGATAAAAAAAAAAAGATCAAATATAGTGCAGTTAGTTGCTTTGGTTGAACCTAAAGGTTGGTGGCGATAATTCAACCAGACAGCCTTGATAATGCAAGGTGCCTGCTTTAGCTTTCAAAACGATTTTTCTTTTCTTTAACTTTGATTTATGGAAATATAGTTGTCAGGGAATAAAGTTAATATCAAAAAGTTTAAATAGAACTCATTTCTAGTGATGGTTTCTCACAGTAGGGTATGGCCAATGACTTCAAGTC